TATATATATATATATCTGTATGATATTCTGACATAAAGAAGCAGGAACAACACGCGATCTTGTTATTAAAGCATCTGATAGTATAAAATAACTCGTTAGGATAATCGTTTCAATGTTGTAAATAAAAGCAGAGCGCATAGTGGTTATTATATTATATTATATTATATTATATTAATATTATATTATATTCGCATATATATATTCAATCTTTATATAATAGGCTGAGAATACACGATAATTTTTTTATTTGCAATTCACTGTTACATGTATGTGCCTAGTTATAGCCATGTTACAATTATTACCTATTACATTGTATGATAATTTAATCCATATTATCGATTATAATAAATGTAACAAGTTCTTCGATATCAAACTCTACACACGATATATTATTATGGCGTAACGTGTAAAGAGTTCATATTTAGGCATACGTGAAAAAAATTTAATAAATCGGAATACATTTTACTAGTCGAGTTGACTGATGGCCCTTATCGCCTTCTTATCTTTATTGTACGGTAAAATGATAAATTCATGATGTTTTCCAAGATCGGGGCGACTATCGCTCCCACTCTAATACCCCTGAATAAATAAAATCGTTTATTATTAAAAGTGAAAATTAGCATAGTCACCGACACGATATTGATATCATTTGTTTACTGTCGCAGATAAAAGCTCTGTTTATTTCTTCAACAATAAACAGTAATCTACGTTATACATTACCATATGCTATCTCTGAGGATGATTGCTGCAATGTACGCAATTTCTAGCACTATCTTTTGTTGAAAATTACATGCTTTTTTTACATTATCATACATTTTATATTAAATTCGCTAATTGCAATGTTGCGTAAATATATTTTTCTTTCAAAAAACTTTTACAGAATGTTTAATAATTATGGTTACGAAACGATTATTTATTTATTCTCTTCGATAGACATGCAGAATTAATAGAGAATATAATTTGTAGTATTATCTCTTGCTCAAAATTATGGCCGTATAAAGTATTTTGATATTTTTATTATCATAATTTATAATTATGCAGCAGTGTACAAACATGCATTTTTCTTTTGAAGGACTCTTTTGGGAGTATTCAACAATCCCAATTGACTAACTAAAAGTGACATAATATCTATGTTATAATTTCGCAATATAATTGGTGTTATTTAACACCATGCGTTATATTACATTTATATTGTAGATTTAATGCTTTTAGTTAGTCGACTAAAATGATTTTAAGAACTGATCTAAGTTGATTCTTGCTAAAGCCAATTTCTATCAATGTAAATGAATTTTAATCTCGGATTAATTTATCTTTTTCCAATTCATATCCGTTTCCACAAATGTAGATTAAATTTAATCTCGATTTAACTTGCTCTTCATTTATTTTAATTCTTAGAACTAGAAAAAGATAAAAAATTATGATGAATTCGGGCAATCGCACTACTCTGGATAAAAGCACATTAAAGGCTCCTTTATAGTATCTAAATACAGTGACATAATCAACTTTGACAATAAATGTGTATATTCTGCTAAATAATGTGACAATTATTCTTAGGTATTTATTCATTTAAAATATATTTATATGTTTTTACATTTAATGTTGCTAATGTCATATATAGTAACTTTTAGTGTACACTAATGTAATGCAAGTGGCCAAATTCGTTAACAGTTAAGGCGCCTGAATAATCATCACAGCCATATTAAATCATGACATCAGAAGCGAGAAATGATATGTCCTGAATAATCATCCCAGCCATATTAAATCATGACATCAGAAGCGAGAAATGATATGTTAATTTTTATTACGTGCCATTTATAAATGAAGACAATTTAGAAACAAAATGATGAGATTGCTTTAAAGCATTTGTAAAAATGGACGAAAATTATACTTATCCCCCCCCCCCCTCTGTCAGGAATTAGAAGAAGATAAAAAAGTAATATTATCGCTAAATTCTTTGAAGTGGAATTTCGTTTTAAAAAGTGAAAATTGAGCTTGTGTTGAAAAAGAGTGACTCAATTTTTAGTCTTTAAGAGTGAGATTTTTTCCTTTAGAGTGAGAATCTCTCTTAAAAATTTTAGAAAGAAGATAAGAGTTATTTACATTCCTAAAAATAGATATATCGGAATGTTTTTGACATTATAGATGCAAGAAGGACAAATAGCAATATTCAACAATCATCATTAACTAGCGATAAAGTTTTTTCTAGAATTATTTCTTTACTATTGCTTAATATGAGTTAACAATAGCGAGAATCGTCAATAAGACTTTAGAGAAAAAGCTAATTTCTAGTAAATAAAAAAACATAAATCGGAAATATTGCGTCAGATATTATCGCAAATTTTTCGTAAATGCGTCCTTGTTCGCATGTTTTTGATTTTTTCAAAAAATTTTCAGAAATTGCATTTGAAATGGGGAAGAAAGAACGCAAAATTTATTGTCTCTGCGTTTCTACTTCGATGACGGCAGCGAGGAAAATAAAGGATGATATCTTTAATCTTTAATGCAATGTGCACAACATGGTAAAGTTACAAAATTAAATAATAAGAAGAGAAGATACCAGTGCATATAAGTGATGATATCAACGAAACTGCTGCTACAAAACCAGAAGATTACGTGAAGAAAAATGGTTGAGTAATTTTTACAAGATTAATAAAAATATTCTAGCTTTTTGCCGAACTTATGACAAACTTTACTTGCCTGAAAGTATATTATAATTGTAATAAATCCATTCAAATGATTATTACTTTACAGTAAAATAAATCTATTCTCGAAACTATGTAAGCACAAACAGCTCTCAAAACTTTATATATTTATATCTTTTATTAAAATAAAGTAAATTTTGTCAGTAATAAGATAAAAAATACTCATCGATGAAGTAAATTCTATTGAGATGCTTTTTAATTGAAATTTTTTAATTAAAGCAATTCTATATAAATATATGGGCATTTGTCTTTATTCTCTAAATTCTTTGGAATAGAATTTTACTCTAAAAAGTGAAATTGAGTCAGTCTTGAAAAAGAGTGGTTCAATTTTCAATCTTTAAAAATAAAGATTACACTCTTCAGAGTGAGATTCATTCTCTGAGGCTGTGATCGAAAACATTATTCGAGTACTTTCGAGTATTCTTGTTGTTCATTGAATGTTAAACAAGGATAAAATAATAATACTCAGGTAGTATTTTCGAACATAGTCTAACAATTTTAGAGAATATAATGGATGTCAATTCCATAAAATTTACACTCTAAATTTTTGGGAATAAAATTCACTCCAAGAAAAGTGATAGTTGCGTCAGTCCGGCAACGAGTGAACTTTACTTCTTCAGGAGAGAATTTCGTGACCTAAAAAGATTAATTTTAATGATTATTTAATATCTCGCTTCGCGATACAGAGCAGTGCTTTTTTCTACCATAATATTCATTCGTTTTATATAAAAACACGTTGCATGAGCCTAATCATTTTTAGATTAGATATAGAGAGGCTAAATTTAACATTTAGAATGAAATTTCAATCTCTCCTTTCGAAGAGTGAAATTATTCACATAAATTAAAAATTGATTCCCATTTGGAGTAATCTTCATTCCAAGAGTGAAAATTTCACTCCTGTAGAACCGGACGCAATTATTTCACTCCCAAAAATTTAGAGTGAAATTCTAGTGCGTACTTAACATTTTTCTCCAGAATCGGATGAAAGGGAAGTGGTAGAAGAAGCGAGCGGAGCGATATCATCTCGCCGCGCCACGTGGTGTCACGTGATGTCGCGTCTCCATGCGTCGTGATTTCAAATGCCGGACCGGCGCGGCGCGACGCTTCTCCGACGTGCTCCGACGTGGCGGACGCGATGTCGTGCCGAGCGCATGGGAGCCTGTTACTAACCGCGCTATTCGATTCGAGCGCGTCGCTGTGACGTCAACGCCGGTAACCGGCGGCAATTGGGCGAGCCGTGGTCGCGGTGTGGTCGCGCGCGACGGCGGCATTCCGGCGGCGACGCGACGGTACGCCGGAGACTTTGCTTCGAGCTTCGAACTTCGACGCCGCTGTCTGCTTGTGACAGTCGATCGCTGACGGGATAGGCATCTGGACGCTAGGTGCGTAGCTTATCGGCGTACGGACGGACGATCAGGCATTAAGAAGCGTATCACTGAATCGCAAGGGTAAGAACAAGAACCACAAGCGGTGATAAGGCAACAGGAACGGACCATCTCGAAACGATGTCGCAGACCGAACTGGACGAAACAGCTGTGGAGAATTTCCGCGAATACCTGCGGATACCGTCGGTGCAGCCGGACGTCAACTATGGTGAGTGATCGCGGGGGAGCATGTGTGATTTCAGATTCCATAAGATTTTCGAAAAATGGGTGAAATGCGGCGAACGAGAGCGAGGGGGAGGAGAGAGATCTGCGACGCGCGCGTCTAAAAGCGTCCAGCAGCGAAAGCGGATTAGTTCGCATCGCGTCCAGCGTCTAAGTTGGTCTAAGTCGAGATTGTAATTTCGGAAGAAAGCGTATAGATGAGAGAGAAAGCGCGAGACTTGTGCGTGTCCTGTGTAAAAAAAAAAGTAGGAAAAAGCGGGACCCACGCCGACCGGCCACGTTTGCGAACGAGATCGCGAAGCACGTCGCTCAACGACGCGTTTCCTCGTTAGGTAAATTGCGCGATTCACCGACGACGAGGGGGAGTTCCTCGTGATCGGCGTCGCTTGTCCACCCGTGGGAATCGGTCGACGCGCTCCCGCGACGCCGGCGACAGGCGAGGACGTTCGCGAGGTGACGAATTGGGGGGATAGCGTCGGTGACGCTATCCAGCCATTGCGTTGCCCCACCCTACGCGTGCGATGTTATTTCTATTTTTATTCCCCTACGTCCGGTCGCAGCGTCTTGCCGACCTCGCCGAGCTGTTCCGCGATGTTCCCGAAACCGGTCACGGGCGTCTGTCGATGACGACAGCGACGTCGTGGCGATTCAATGGGCGCCGCGACATGACCCAGATTGAGCACACGGCCCGGCACTTTGCGTTCCCGTCGTGATTCCCGAAACGATCTTGCCGGTTCGATGGAAGAAGTTGTTCCGAATCGCGAATTGACGACCGGTAAAAATGTGGAAGCTAGTTATGTAACCCGGTCGACGAGATTTCGCGTTCCTTGAATCTGTACGATATAACGGCCTGACTTACGGATGTGTCGCGACATCGCGACGACTCGTTATATTTCTTAATACGCACATAGTTGAGAAATAATAGATCCTGTGACCTCTTGATGGAATAGATAAGAGACTGCAATTGATAATAGAGCCAATTACCATCCCTCTGCAAGTGCCTCGTCTCTTATTACGATTATCACACGATTGTCTGATATTTCCAAAGGAATTAATTTCCGCGATCATTATTATTGTTATGTAACATTGTCATGTCGTTTTACTTTATTATTTAATAACAAGAAAAATTACTTTAGAAAATATTGAACTTGAACAAAAAAAAACATTTAAATTATGTTATGTTAGCTCAATATTTTAGATGTTCTCTTATCTATAAATAGACTGAATTAGAATCTAAATTAAGTAAACTTGATACATCGATTAGCTTTCAAATTTTAGACATAATATTTTATTTAATTTACAGTAAAAAAAAATAAAATTTAAATCCTGTTTTCTCAATACGTTTTAGATTTCTTATTTACAAATATACTGAATTAGAGCATAAATTATATGGAATTGCTACGTCAATTACTGCCGAAATTAATTTGCAAGTTTTGAACGTAGTAAAAAATTATTTAATTTAACTTAAAATTAATTTTTACAAAAGCTCTTTAAATCCTGATAACTAAATGAATTAGAGATAAAAGTATAGAATAAAATTTTATTACACTTCAGTATACACAGTCAAGAAGGGGACTTGGTTTACATATAGAGCTTTAATCCATTCACTTATCCATATCTCATGATACTCCCTTTTTTTGCTACTTCTTGCTACCCAAAGCTATCTATATCATAATTTTACTCTATATATCTTTTACATTCTTTCCTTCATAGCTTTTTAGTTTCTTATTCTATATTTAATTCTACTATACTATAAATTAAATTTAATATCTAGACCATAGCCCTAACCACAACCTATAATCATCACCTGCTTATTATACTCACACATTTTTATTTCCTTTGAACCCTACTCTACTATTATTATCTCTTTCCGCTTATCGTACCTCTCTTATGATTGATTTTTTCATTATTTTTACCTTTCCTTTCTAGATATTATCTCCCTTCTCTTCTTTCTTCATGAATTAGATAAAAGTTTCCATATAAAATCTCATGCTTAATACAATCTAATTTATTGTGTTTTTCATTTCAGATAAATGCGTGGAATTCATAACTAGACAAGCACAGTCTCTCGACTTACCAGTTAAAATTTATCACGTACATCCTAAAAAACCGATTGTGGTTTTAACATGGGTGGGAACGGATCCTACGAAGCAATCGATTCTCTTGAACAGTCATATGGATGTTGTTCCTGTTTTCGAAGTAAGTAATTTATAAGTATTTTGATTTACGGTAAAGATGTTGCAGATGTATATTATTGCATTAAGAAAAATATCTGCTTGAAAATGGATGAATTAGATAGAAGATTCTGAATTTGATAGAATGAGATTCAGAATTTAATGAATTAGATAGAAGATTCTGATTATATCAATCACAGTTCCAGTTATCTCAACTAGACTTCTAGTAGATTTAGATTTTAGATGAACCAGAAAATTCTGATTCGTCTATTCTCAATCAGAATTTCAGTTAATCTAATTAGACATTTTTCTCAAGGCTATGTTCAGATTCTCACCTGAGTACCAGGTATTACTCCATTCTTGTTGTTTACCGAAGATTTGTTTTTTATTGCTGCACTCTGAACCAATGCAATAAGTTGAAACAAATGTATTATGTATACCAGTTCAAAAAGTGCAGCAATAAAAAGCAGATCATATGTTAAACAAGGATGATATAACATCCGGCTTACACAGCACGCTTTATTCGAGGGACGTTTTGACATCCCAAAGAACATCCTTAGGATGTAGAGATATCCTTTGAATGTTCTTTGGGACGCCCCTTTAGAAATCTATATGGGGGGAGTACCTGGGAATCCGAACACGCCCTAGTATGTAATCATTGTTCACACAATAATTGATCAACTTTGTTGATTCTCAATACTAATTCTATAACTGATCTAGGACAAATGGACCTATCCGCCATTCAGCGCACACATGGACGAAAAAGGCGACATCTATGCTCGCGGCAGCCAGGACATGAAATGCGTGGCAATACAATATTTGGAGGCGATCCGTAGACTGAAACTGAACGGACAACGTTTCCAACGCACTATCCACATTTCTTTCGTCCCAGACGAGGAGATCGGCGGTGTTCTCGGAATGAAAGCCTTTGTACACACTGCAGACTTCAAAGCTCTGAACGTCGGTTTCGCGCTAGATGAAGGTGTGGCTGGCCCATGTGAGAACTTTTATATGTTTTACGGAGAAAGATCGATTTGGCATGTCGAAATAAAGTGTGCGGGCAATCCCGGTCACGGATCCATCATGTTGGACAACACGGCTGGAGAAAAATTAAGAGTTATAATAGATCGTTTCACAGACTTCAGAGCTTCCGAAAAAGCAAAATTAAATCCAGATCTTAGAAAAATAGCGGGTACTCTTGGCGAAGTGACATCTGTAAATCTTACGAAAATTTGGGTAAGTATCAAGCAAAAATACTATTTTCGTTAAAAAAAACCCATTTAAAAGATATATATAATTTATAAGAGCATTTATATTTAAAAATCATTGAGTTATTGTAATTATATAATTTTTAATATTTTTAAATTATGTAATAATATATAATTTTTCATTTAGATGAATTTATAAATAAGAATATAAAATATTAAATAAGTTTCTATGTTAAATTAAACAGTTTTTAAAAGCTCAATAAAATACAAATTTAAAAATAAAGTATCTATATAAGGGCAATGAGCACTATAACAGTGCAACAAACTGTTTTTTAATTTATAATATAGATTATATTTATTCCAAATGTTTTAATTCTCACAAATTATTCTCTATTCTCAGGACATAACTTACTAATACATATTGATAATCAATCTTGTCTTCATTCAGCAGTTAAAATGCTATTTAATTATTGTGACTGATTATATAACTCAAAGTGGTAATCCATAGATATGAATGCTAACAAATTTCTTTATATTATAGAAACATGAATTTGAAATTGTGTGTGACATTCTATTTGGAGATCGACAGAAACATTAAAACATTTCCAAATAGAATGTTTCTACATAAAAAAACTTGTTGACACTTATGATTAGTATTACAATGTCCATAGATTACCATTCTGAGTTACATAATCAGAATAGAAATCGCAATAATTGAGCAGCGTTTTAATTGACGAATGAAGATAAGATCGGTTATTAATATATATTAGTAAAATAAATTATATGTCCACTGAATGGTTCTGTAAGAACCGAAACGTTTGGAATGATACATGTAATTTAAATTGTAAATTAAAAAACAGTTTGTTGCATTATTAATGTGCTCATTGCCCTTGTATAAACACTATTCTATACTGAATTCAATGAATGCTAATAAATATTTAAAAGAAAATTTCAAAAGAAAATCTCAAAGAAAGCAAATGAATTAATTAGTTTTAATTTTCAAGTCGTTACATGATACTTGTTTATTTTATATGTCTGTTCATTGGGATTTTTATATTCCACAGTAAGTATTCTAATGTTCTAATAAGTCTTGCAATTAACATCAATCATAATATACAACTTTTTACTTTATGAACCCTTGCCTTATTATTGTGTTAAGATTTTATTTTACCATTTTAGGTTTTCAAACTCCTTATCTATCTATTTGATATTTTACGATTTTAGTCTATTAAATGTTTTTATTTACAGGGTGGCGTACAAACTAATGTTATACCTACCGAGTTCGGCGCTATGTTCGACATTCGTATAACGCCTTCTGTTAATCACGACGAATTCGAAGCTACTATCAAACAGTGGTGCGAAGAAGCTGGTCCAGATGTAACTTATTCCTTCGAAGAGAAAAATCCCAAAATTGAGAATACCAAACTAGATGAATCTAATCCATACTGGATCGCTTTCAAAAATACCTGCGATGAAATTGGTGTTAATTTGGAAACCGCTATCTTCGCGGGAGGTACAGACGGCCGTTTTGTGCGAGGGGTGAGCATCAGACTGGTCTTTATATGAAAATTTAACATTTAAGTACACAGAAGAAGAAATATGTATTATTGTTATTTATTTTATTATAATTATTTCAAAGTATGCGAAATTTCTTTGTAAAACATACAGCATCATGCTTTATTTTATACATTTGTTCTAGAAACTTTAGTTCATTTAGACTCAAAATTTACAAAATAAAAATTATAGATATTTTATTGAATTGAATATTTTTATAATTTATATATATAAATTTTGGCTAAAAATAGTATTTATTATCAGCAGTTTCACATTAGAATATAAGAAATGTGATTTTCATTAAAACTAAAAACATTGTGTTGATAAGTTAAGCATCGCATTTAAATAATAACCTTTATGTTAATTATAAAAAATCTAGATTGTTATACGTTATAATTTTTAATATACTATATTGTATATTATTATACATTTCATATATTAGGTGTTGGAATTAATTCGTAGCGTTTTACAAGTGATGGGAAGTACTTTCATTAATGTATTTTTTAATGCTCATGTGAAATAAATAACATTCTTTCATTAAAAACGCTACGAATTAATTCCAACACCTAATATAAAATATATAATAACTTTGG